AATGATCAGAGGCAGAAGATGGTTCTGACTCCTCCCATTGCTGTGACCTCACAGTCCCACTCACCACCCACCTCCTTTGTTTCCACCTCTGCCACCTCATTAAGACCTAAACTTATCCATTTATTTACAGTTGAAGCTGATTTATTTTATTAATGGCTAAGACAGCAGGATGCAGTTATGCATCTCAGCTGGAAAATTAAGAGCTCTTGTTGTGACCTGCATTATAACAAGAGCTGATCTTTGTGCCCCAGCCTGAAGTCTCAACACCTCGGAGCAGCAGCTCCTTGGAAACCCCATTCAGCCCCATTTGGGGATCATGAATATGCAGTTCCACGTCAGCACACACACAGGAGGAAGGAGGGAACATCTGAAGGTTATAATTTAATCACAACAGATCAAGGGTTTGCACGCCCCTGATTTCCAAACCAGAACTTCTGCCTCATCATAAAATAATTTCCTTTTTCGACCAAAAGTCATGATCCCCCACTGTGGGCACAGGTCACGTGGATTTGCAACCACGTCGAATTTAAGGCAGGAATTTAAGGCACAAATCACAGCAGTTTCTGGGTCACCTGTTGGTTCCTTTGAAAGGATTTCTGCCCCAGGTTTTCCATCTGCATCAAACCTGATGCACAAACACCAGCCAATCACCCCCAAATGATCCACAACCAAAGGACAAGTTAAGGTGAAAGAAAATTTTACAAAACAATTAAATAAGGGCTTTTTAAACAATTAAACAAAAACAATTAAAAAACAATTAAAAAAAAACAATTAAAAAAAAAAAAGCAAGTTATTTTTCAAGGTTTGGGGCCATGTCCTGTTCCCAAATGCCCAACTCCCACTTGAGGCAAAGGATACCTGACCTAAACATTGACTCAGAAAGAACTAATTAACTCTCTCCTTTCATTAGTGAAAAATAACACAGAGTGATCTTGAAGGAGAACATCTTAAACAATTAATGTTAATTGCTTGTGCTTGTATGAAAGACCTTGACAAATTTCCTGTGGTGGTTTATTTTCCTTCCAGGAGCAGGATTAGTGCCCTCCTTGGGCTTTAGGGACAGAGGATGATGGTAAACCTTAGTTAACCATTTAAGAGCCAATTAAGGGCATCAGTGAACAAAGAAAAAAGAAAAAAAAAAGTATTTGATAATAATGGTAATGCTGACAAACAACACTTAGAAATTATTTAATTTCTTCCTGAATAATTTTAATACATTTAACCTCAAATAAAATAAAACCTTTGCAAAACAGTAAAAAAAAGAATCTTCAATTAGTAGAGGTTTTCTCGGCCAAGATCTTACAGAAAACATAAAATTTCTGTAGAATATAAAAAGTGAAAGGCATAACTTTGGCCTCCAGCTTCCTCTACACTGAAATCTTTTCAATATTTAAGAGAATACAATATTCAAACCATTCCTGGACAAAATGATATTGAGATGTTGAAGCAGCAGAGAGGCAGACAATAAAATTTTACTGGAAGGTTTCTGATGGCCTTTCTGTTCCCTCCCTGCTTAATACTTGGGATAGGAAGCTGCCTGTGAGTTGTGGATGCTCCCAAATACCCTGCAGGCTCCTCTGGTAGGAAATTAGGAAGTTAATAATTTCTCTTTCTCCTCACTCTTGCACTAGAATAAAAGTTTAGTTTCTCCCAGCTCCTGTTCCTGTGTTAAAATAAAAGTTTTGGAATGTGGGAAGTCTTCTTTTGAGCTGGGGAGGATCCTGCTTGGGAAGCTCCTGCAACCACAGGAACTTGGAATGCTCAGGGTGTCCCCAGGCTGAGGGAAAATTATGTTCTGCTTTCTTTTATTAAAGTAGAATTTGAGGAGCTTTGCAAGTTTATAACAAAAAGAAATCCTGCAGGTTTTGTTGGTGCTGTTTGTGGTACAAATCCCACCAGGAATTCATCCCTGCTTTGGAACATGCAAAGTGCACCTTCATCCACGCTCTTGGAACACAGAGCTCTTTAGGATCTCCTTCCCAAGTACAGCAGGGATGAAAAAATGCCTCCCAAAGCCACTCAGGGTGGTCAGGAGCTCCCCAGCTCAGCAGGGCAAGCTCAGAAACTCGTAGAGTTGTGGAATCCCAGACTGGTTTGGGTTGGGAGGGATCTTAAAGCCCATCCAGTGCCACCCCTGCCATGGGCAGGGACACCTCCCACCAGCCCAGGTTGCTCCAGCCTGACCTTGGACACTCCCAGGGATCCAGGGGCAGCCACAGCGTCTCTGGGAATTCCATCCCAACCCCTCCCCACCCTCCCAGGGAAGGATTCCTTCCCCAAATCCCCCCTAACCCAGCTCTCTGGCAGTTTGAAGCCATTCCCTTTGTCCTGTCCCTCCATCCCTCTCTCTCCGTGTATCCTGCAGGCTCCTTCAGTCCTGGGAGGCCACAATCAGGTCCCCCTGGAGCCTCCTCTTCTCCAGCCTGGACAATCCCAGTTTTCCAGCCTTTCCTCCTGCCATCCAGGGTTGGATGGCTCTGCTTTGCCTCCTCCCATGGGATGTTTTTCCAGGCTCTTCTCCCAACTCGGGTCACTCCCCAGAAAACCAGACAACAACTCAAGGAGCTGCTTCCTCTCCTGACATTGCCACACTTGGAGAAAGTCAAGCCTCTCATCAGGCATCTTAAACACCATCTGTCCACGGCTGAGAATCTGTTCCTGAAACTTGCTGAGCCCTGTGATGAATGTCCCTTGCTGGGAGTAAAAACGCTGAGTGGGAGATGATGAATCGGACAATGTGCTACCTCTAAAGCTCCAGCCTGCTTCCAGAGGGGATGGGAATGCCAGGCAGTTATTCCCCACCTCTAATTCCTGCTCACAGATATTCCCCCCTGTTTTAATCCTCTCCAGAAGAAAGGGTTGAGCAAAAAAAAAAAAAAAAGAGGAAAAATCAGTGAACAGAAACAAAACAACTGTATCTTCTCCTGTGCCCCTTAAATATTCCTTGTCTTGGAGAAGAAAGAGATAAATATAAAATAAATAAATAAATAAATAAAAATAAAAGTAAAATTATGAGTTTTAGGGAAGATCCTAATAAATTGGGGATTTCAAATTGGGTTCTTTCTCCTTCCTGTGTCAGGAAAAGCCCAGCTCTTCCCTGTTTTCCTCAGACAAGCACAGGAGCTGCTCCACTCAGCGCTCCAGGAGAATTCCAGCCAGCCCTTCCATATTTCAGAACTCCCAGTCCCCGGTGCTGGTTTAGCTCCAAATTGTCCCCTCTGTGCCTGTCATTTCCCAAGGCCTCCTTTCATCTCCTGTTCTCCGTGTTCTTTAAGATTTAAAGACTTCCCAGAAGATAAAAACAAGGCATTGATTCCTGTGCAACAACCACTTAGCGGGGATTTGGCAGAACTGAGGTTTATTTTATTTTATTTTATTTTATTTTATTTTATTTTATTTATTTAATGGAGTGACAAATTTACTGGTCCAAATTCTGCCTTCAGGAAGAGCTGACCCTAAAGTAAAAAATTTACAGTTTCCATGGTCAGCTCCAAGACCCCAAGTGTTTCCAGCTGATATAAGAATGGATGTCTGTGGAGGAAACTTTGGAACTTTTAGTAGTAAATCTTGTGTTTTTGTGTGGCTTCTGGGACGCTCTGTGTGTTAAACAAAAATTACATCATTGCCCAAACGTGGTCAGCTTCAAGTGGCTCCTGGCTTTGGACATTTGGAAATATATTCTGGTGGAAGAGAGTTACACATTCTTAAGGGGAAAAATGGCATTAACAGGAAAAGAGTCTTCTTTCCATGTACTGCCTGGTATTTCTGGATCCCCCAGTCCTTTAAAAAGCCATCAATAAAGTGATTTTATACGTGAGGGAAAGGGAGGCACACAAGTAAAAAGATGTGTAGACTCACAGTGGGGACATTGCTGACATTAATAAATAAATATATAACCCCAGAATGCATCCTCAGACCCAGGAGCACACGAATTTTCTAGACTGAGTGGCAGCAGAATTTTGCTGCCTACGAAATAGCCCTTCCCCTGGGGGCATAAGGTCTCCAAACCTAGAACTGCATCATCCTCCTCCCCTGCAGGGGAGGTCAAAGCTCAGCAGTGGTGCCTTTGAGCATCACTTTCCCTGGGAATGCTCCCTCAGGAACAGCCCAGCCAAGCAGGGCTGCTGAGGGCCTTCCCTGTGATCACACACTGGCTGTTTAACATTCTCCAGCCAAATCCTCTCCTTGGGAGTGCCTGGAGGCAACAGTTAAATGTCAGGTCTCTCCAAGCCCCATCTCCCCAAGATCTCTCTGCTGCCCCCAAATTTTCTGTAGCGTGTTGATTCCATCTCTCATCAGAGGATCACTGTTACAGCTACCAAAGCATGCTTCAAAAGGCAGGATTACCCCAAAGAGGAAATACAGAGAATTAGGTATTAAAATGCAAATTTGTTTTAAAGCTACATCAAAGTAACTCGGTAATAAAGCCCGGGGATTATCCCCGCTTTAGGGATGTGAGTGATTGTACAGCCTTTTCTCCTGCTTAAAAACCATCCCCTCTGCCTTCCCAAATGGGTCATGACAGGCTGCCTGCTTTGTCTGCAGGCTCAGATTTAGCCAAAAACTGTCTCAAATAGTGCTTCATTTTAATAATGATAAAATGCAGTCCTTCACAGCTCCTTAAAGAAGACGAATGTCTCGGTGTGCACATGTCCAAGAGGGGCCTGGTTTTCCAGCCTTGCCTTTCCTCACTGCAGAACCTCAGGTCAGCTCCATCCCAGCTCCCAAAATCTTGCTTGCACCGTGGCATCTGTTGCAATAACACGTTAATTGTCAGGAAGAACCAAATTTGAAAGTTGTAGAGGAACCTCCCAGCTTGGCAGGTCTTGCTGACACAGCCTCACCTCTAAACAGAACCAAAACACAGCCACAGCCTTTCCACAGAATTTAACTCTTCTTCTTGCCTCCAAAATGCCTACATGGCACACACACAAAAAAAAAATCTCAGATCTGTACTCTTCAAATTGATAATCCACCTCTCTGGAGAAAACAAGCCATACCTGGCTGCAGGAAACAGGAATAATTGGGAGGGGGCTCCTCAAAGCCTGTGAAACTCATCTCAAGCCGTTCCTAAAAGCAGCAAAAACATAAAAGCATTAAAAAAGCAGAGAGTATTCTTGCACCCCTGAGCTCTGCTGACACCGCTGGTGAAACAAAACAATCTGAATTGTTTGCTCAGACAGGGGAAAGGAGAATGGGTAATTGCCTTAGCTTTGTTCTGATAAAAGCAACCTACATAAATTGTAATTTAAAAACAAGTGGCTTTGCTAATGTCAACAACGAGCCTTTCCAGCTCTGCTCCTTCAGCAGGGCTACAACTCAGCAAGTGCAAACAAATAAAGAAATACTCCCTCCAGTTCAGGTTTTGTGAGCATCTCACACCACATCCTGTGCCATTTCGTGGAGTCACAGGGATCTAAGGCTGGCAGGGACTTCACACAGTCGTCTGATCCACCCCCTGCTCAAAGCAAGGATTCCCAGTTATTTCCAGTTCTCTGCTTTTCTGAATAGCAATAAATGTCTTTTTTTTTTTTTTTTTCCTGAGCCTTTTTCTTCTAAAGACTGATACACAGAGAGCTCGTAAATTGGGGGGGAAATATGGGAAAAAAATAAAAAAAGAGAGTACTCTGGAGCTGGCAGTGCAAGTGTGTGCAGATAATTGAACAGGGGAAGCCCATTGTGTTGGGCATTTGTGCCCTGGGAGAGCTCTCCAGCAATCAGAGCCAATCCTGCCCTGCTTTTTTAATGTCAGAACGACTTTGAGCTGCCAGCACTAATGATTGCCACGGTGAATGGCAGGATTTGAGCTGAAAGGAGAGAGAAATCCTTCTGAAATCTGAGGTCCACTCTCTGCCTCACAACCCTGGGGCAGGTTTTGGGGCAAACTCAGCCCCAGGGTGGGAAGGGTGTGAATTTTCCCTGCAGAGGGACTTTTACAGAGGGCTGATTGGAGGGATTCACTGAGCCTCCAAAGTGACACCTTCTCAGGGAAAGCAAAACATGAAAGGATCATTTTCTCCATAAAATGCTAATTTAGGGTAACCTTTCTAGGGAGTGCTTAAGTGATCCACGAGCCTGAGCACCACGGTCTGCCAGTGCCTTAAATACCCATTGCTTTGGCCCATAATAAGCTGATCTTCATCCAGCAGCTCATTAACAACTCAAAAACAAGCTAAACTGATTGATTTTGATGAAAAGTTCAATGTTTCTTATTAAAGCTGAGCCCCTGCCTCCCTCAGTTCCACATCTGTGAGCAAGCAGACATAGTAATTCCAACTCAAAAGCCCATGCAGGCTCCTTTTGGACATATATTTATATATAACCTCAGCAAAACAAAATAAAGACAAGAAATATGGGCCGTGGGGGGGAAAAAGTGCTGAGCAAGGCATTTTTCATTCTGCTTCCACTTAGAAACAGTGAAGATATTTTTGGTCCAAACACATCATTCTGTTCCAACACATTGCTTTGTTCAATTTGACGAAAATTGAATGGCCAGAACGTAATTAATGGTTGAAACTCTCTCTCTGTTTAACAAATTGAAATACTTTGAATACTAACTAGCCATATGTAAAGCTCATCAATATTAATGAAACTTTCTGAAATGTATCATTTATTCTTCATGGACAGGAAGAAGTTCCAGGTTTGCTGAGGCACAGAAACGATTAGGGAAAAAATTCGCAGGGGCTTCTCAATCTCATGGAAAGCAAAGTTCCATTTTTAAAACTAGGACTTTTCTGAAAATCCCATCGACTTTTCCACTGAAAAATTCAGAATTCCATTTCTGAATGCCCAAACCCCTTCCAGCAGCGGCCTTCAGTCCTGAGCTTGCAATAAGACACAACGTACAAGGTCTCAAAAAGCCCAGAAAAACAAAGAAGGGAAAATCAAAATGATTGTAAAAAAATAAAAATCTTTATGATGAAATAAGAGCAGGTCTTAAATAAGAGCATTTCAACCCAGTGTAGAACTATTCATATCCTTGGTGGGATTCACAGCCCTCAACTTCCTTAAAGGGAGAGGTTAAAGTTTGATTTCAGCAACAGGGCATTTGATGCCCTTGGCTCAGCTTTTTACAGAACTGCAAACCCCTCTTTTTGCAGCAGGAAAGCCACAAGGAGAACTGAATAAATGTGAGAAGAGGCTGAAGATCTGCAAGAACAGGCCCACACTGGAATAATCAGAGATTTAAGAAGCATAAAGCACTACCAAAATATCCTCCCCTGAGCACAACCCAAGAGGAAAAGTTTGGGATGAATATAAAAAAAAACTTCTTTTTTTTCTTTTTTTTTTTTTTTGAGGAACCCACAAGCCTGATATCAAATTTTGCCTGATGAAAGGAGCAGGTTGTTCTCCTCATTAGCAATCCCCAGCTCATTTGCATGTCTGCAGGTGCAATCCTTGAACACCGGTGTAGGACAGCGTGTCCATGGCACAGGCACCGAATTAACAGCACAATTATTTATTCAGCTCTTCACATGATCCAATAAAAGTTATCTGACACCCTATGAATTCCTTGAGTGACAACTTCAGCTTATTCTGCAGTGTTGTGAACTGACTCTCCTGGGACATTTATTAACAGTTTTGTCATTAAGTAATTGCCAGTGGAAAGTTTGTTGTCGTCGGGGTTTTATACTTTTAATATCTTCCTCATCTCAGCTGTTTATTAGGTTCAATTTATGAAGGGTGAGAGAAACATGAGTCATTAAATCACCTGGAGGTGCTTCCTGTTTATGAGGCAATAACCCTTTTCCTGGGCTAATAAATTCAGGGCCCGCAGCTGAACATTTATTAGCCCAAGATACACTTATTGTTCAGTTAATTGGAAGCACCCTGAAGTTGTTATTATAATGAAACTTCTCATGATTAAAGATTTGGGAGAAATCATCTGTTTTAAAGTGCTAGTGGTGGGGTGTTAATGAAGGATTGAGGAGTTTGGGTAACTCTGCAGCTCTTGATGAGCTGTGGCACCAAAGTGATGGGATCTGACTCATGTGGAGACCAGAGATGCACAGGTTTGACTTGGAATGGCTCCTGGTTTTTTTACTGAGCTCCTTTTACACACTCAAGCCAACTCTCACTCTTTTTTTTCCCTGCCCTGAGCACCACCAAGCCTGGCAGGTGTTTGGAGATGACTTCTTGTGGTGGAATGGAGGAATCCACTGATCAATCCAGAATCCCAGGATGGCTGGGGGTGGAAGTGACCCCTGGAGATCAGCTGTGCAGATAAATCAGTTATTTTGACCTGGCTTACTGTAGAACATTCATAACAAGTAGGATGATGGGCTGTGGCCCAGTTGTTTCTGGAGAAATCATTCCAAGTCCTTCCCTAAGGCAGCAAGGAGGAAATAAGAAAAGTCCCACCTGCAGGGTAGAAATAACTCCCCAAAACAGCTGAATGGTGAGCAACAAATGTCAAAACAGGGTAAATAAGAGAAAATCCCTCTTTGGTGGGTGGTCTTGAACTGCTTTATCTTGGCTTTGCTCATCTCTGGCTCCCAAACCACCATTCCCACTTGTCCTTGTTCTTCAGCACCAGCTCTTTGAGAGGCAGAACAATTTAGAGGAGCCCTTGGGGCTTTTCCCCAGAGCTTTGGGGGACAGTGGATGCACAAAGCCACCTTCCCCAACAGTGCAGTGCCTGTGGATCTGAACCAGGGCTCTGAGAACTTGGAAATGCTGGAAAAAGCCCCCTGAACAGTGCAGTGAGGAGACCTCCCAGCACATCAGTCATTTATTTTCAAACAACAGCCACTTCCTACTGAGCTTTGTGTTGACCAGCTCTGTTACAGCACGTGGGATAATGACAATTAGGGTGCTGGGTGCCTACAATGAGTTTTAGGTTGCTGGTGGCCTGGATGAGATCACCAAGGAGTCACTCCAGCCTCAGTGAAAGGATTTGGGGAGCTGTCAGTGGAAACAACAACCAGGCACACTGAGAATCCTGAAAGTTCCTGAAACCTTGCAGGAATTTCAGGGCCTGGAGTACATGGAGTTATGGACAAATATATCTCAAAAAATTCCATTTCCACTGCCTTCAAAGCAAGGGCTGTTTCCTCCACGGACTTCAATAAGCACTGGATCTGATGGAAAGTGATCTGGCTAAAAGGCATGTAAATGCAGCTGTCATTTTGGGAAATCATTAGTCCATCTGATTGGCCAGGTGGGCAGCTTGAATTGATTTGCCTTGCTGCAAAAACCCCCCCCCCCACACCCCAGAGTAAATATCCTGACACCACAGCAGAGCAACAGCTGCCTGGTACTAAGGGAGGTATTTCTAAACACACTTGCAAGCTTGAACTTCTGAATTAATTTCTTCAAGCAACTCCATCTTTTTAATTCCACAATCTAATGCACATGTCTAAGCACCCTCAAAGTTACCCTGCATATCAAGCTTTTAGTTTTTCCTCAGAATATTATTTTTTTAATATATTTTTCCTAATATAACCACATTTCAGAAAGCCTTCTCAGCGTTGAGCTTGAGTCACACTTTCCAAACAATTAAATATTTAATTCAACTCTGATCCTGTGGAATAAAATGTGTTAATTCAGTAGCTGGTTTTTCCCTCTAGCTCCCCTATAAAAATAGAATTTAGAGTTATTTTGCTACTGGAAAGGTTTGCAGGTCCAAGGAAAGGGAGAATAAGGTCAAGTGTGCTGAGGAGGTGTTTGGGCAGGACAGAGATTTGGGTTCTCCTTTAGGTGCTTTGAAGGAGAACAAGGACAAGAGGAAACAGCCTCGAGTCGTGCCAGGGGAGGTTTTAGGGTTGAAGTTGGAACAATAATCCCTCCCCACACTCTCCCAACACTCCCCAAGCCAGGCCCAAGCTCTGGGCACTCGCAAAACACAAATATCGAGGCTGCCTTTGAAAAAACGAACCTTATAAGAACAATAGGATCTGATTTGGGAATCCTTGACACAGGAAGCCCAATCTACATCTTCACTGAGGGTTTTTTTTTTTTCTCCTCAGAATATGAGGAAGCAGCTTAACCTTGAAAATACCGCTTAGCTCACACATACACACACACACAAAAGTAGTTTATTCAGAAAGTGGTAATTAATTTTCTGCAG